GTCCAGCTGGCAGCAGAGCAGGACTAAGGCAGGCTCCCTGCCTTGACTCTTCGTGGCTCCCAGAAGAAGCAGCATGTCCCCCATCCAGCGCCTAAGCGTAGGGGCAGCAAGGGGGCTCCATGCGCTGCCCCCGCCTTAAGCGCCAGCTCCCATTGGCCGGGAACCATGGCCAATTGAAGCTGCAAGATTGGTGCCTGCAGACGGGGCAGCATGTAGAGCTGCCTGGCTGTGCCTCCACGTAGGAGCTAGAGGGAGGACATGCTGTTGCTTCTAGGAGCCATGCAGAGCCAAACTCCTCATCCTTGGCCCTACCCCAGAGCCCACACGCCATGCCCCAACCACTGCCCCAGCCCAGAGCACCTTCCTACACCCCAGAGCCTGCACCCCCAGCCAGAGCCTTCACCCCCCCACACACATTAACCCTCTGTCCCACCCCAAGCCCCTCATCCCCAGCCCCACCCCAACCCCCTGAGCCAGCCCGGTGAAAATGAGTGAGTGAGCGGGGGCGGGGCCTGGGCCTCAGAGAAGGGGAGGGGTAAAGGTGTTCAGTTTTGTGCGAGTATAAAGTTGGCAACCCTATTACCAGATGGCAAAAAGTGTCAGATCTGTTACACAAAGCACCCTGGTCTATCCTCTCATTTCTTCAACGTAGACAACAGCAATCTCAAACTGGCTAGGGAAAAAAAAAAACAGCTCTCCTTTTATTCTTATCATATATTAGTCCAATTCTCTGTCTACTTATCCTGTCACATTAAGCATCAAAACTCCAAGCACAGTTATATACTAGTTTGAAGTTTTCACTAAAGTTAAAAGTTCCCAAAAATTGAAAATTTCATTCCAGTCAAATACTGAGTATGTAGTTTGTTTTAAGACTGCCAAAAGGCCCTGCATAGAGGGCACCCCACAGAAACACTGATTTTACTGAATAACCCAGGCTAAGTGGGTGGTACAAGCTATGTAGCACTTTTAGGTCCATATAATTAAGCAAGCAGACAGCACAGGGAATATATTAAGGGATACACAGCTTTTCCTTTCCATCTCACTGATCTAAAGCCAGACTAAGTAAATAAGGAGCAGGAGTTGGCCCAACAGCTGAACAGTTACATGTGATATTTACTAGTTCTGATTTTTCTGTTTTAATTAATAAGATACATCCAATTCCACATCCAGCCACCTAAACACAGGAAGAACAGGTTGGTTTTACTGTACACCTGAAAGATCAACAAATTCCAGCTCTGACAGATCAATGCAGAAGTACATTCCAGAATCTAGGGCCCTTCACTGAGAATATCCATCCAAACCCAACACTTTGATCTGCAGACTTCGCTCCAGAGCTCAACTGTCACTGCAGCATACAGCAATAGAAGCATCACACTAATAGCCGAGACCCAAGTCATCAGACCTTAGAGATCAAAGTCAGTGCCTTGAATAGCCCCCTGAAGCAAGTACAGATGACCAAAAAGATGGTGTAATATGTTCCTTTCAGCTGTCAGCTTGCCAACCTGCCTGTATGCTGCACCACTGGAAAATTTTGAGTGATTTTCAACTGTAGCTCCTTGCAAAGTGTACTGCATTAACCCAGTCTGAAGGTCACAAAAGCAGAGTAGTAAGGTCTAGAAGACCTGAGAGAAACAGCCACAATCATCTAGCCAGAGACAGATGGAAAGATACACTTTTAAATGCTAATGCCATCAAAGATGCCAGCAGCAAATGGGGATTTAAAAAAAAAAAAAAAAAAAAAAAAACCCCACGCACCTATTCTCCCAAAACAGAAACCCCTAGGACACAAAGTAGACAGACTTCTTCAGTAACAAGGACAGAAATCATCCTCAGTGCACCCCAAAAAAATCTTCCCACACCCCATCATCTTAGACACATCCAGTTAAGCTTCTTTTAACTAAATTTCAGAGTAGCAGCCGTGTTAGTCTATATCCGCAAAAAGAAAAGAAGTACTTGTGGCACCTTAGAGACTAACAAATTTATTTGAGCATAAGCTTTCGTGAGCTACAGCTCATGCACCCGATGAAGTGAGCTGTAGCTCACGAAAGCTTATGCTCAAATAAATTTGTTAGTCCCTAAGGTGCCACAAGTACTTTTCTTTTAACTAAATTTAACTACATCCTTGTAGGGAAAAAATACCAAAGAAACCCACCACTCTAGCATTTAACTTCAAAAAGGGGAACTATACAAAAACGAGGCTGCTAATTAAACAGACATTAAAAGGAACAGTCACAAGAGCGAAATGCTTGCAAGCTGAACAGAAACTTTTTAAAAACCACCATAATAGAGGCTCAAACTATACATACACTTCAAATTAAAAAAACCAGCACAAGGACCAAAATAATGCCACCATGGCTAAACAGAGTAGAAGAGACTGTTAGAGACAAAAAACATATCTTTTAAAAACTGGAAGTCAAATCCTACTGAAGAAAACAGAAACGAACATAAATTGTGACAAGTGTATAAGTATAATTAGGCAGACCAAAAAATAATTTGAAGATCAACTCGCAAAAGAATATATTTTTTTTTTATGTACACCAAAGCAGGAAGCATGCCAAACAATCAGTGGGGTCACTGGACAATCAAAGTGCTAAAGGCACACTCAAGGAAGACAAGGCCATTGGGGAGAAGCTAAATGAATTCTTTGCTTCGCTCTTCACTGCAGAGGAAGATTCCCACTTGTGAGCCTTTATTTTTAGATGACAAATCTGAGGAACTGTCCCACACTGAGATCTAAATAGAGGAGGTTTGGGGGAAGATTGATAAATTAACATTAATAAGTCACCAGAACCAGATGGCATTCACCCAAGAGCCCTGAAGGAACTCAAATATGACACAGAACAACTAACTGGTATGTAACCTATCACCTAAATCAGCCTCAGTACCAGATGACTGGAGAGTAGATAATGTAATGCTGATTTTTAAAAAGGCTCCAGAGGCAATCCTGGCAACTGCAGGCCAGTAAACCTAACTTCAGTACCAGGCAAGTTGGTTGAAACTAGAGTAAAGCACAAAATTATCAGACACATAGATGAACATGATATGTTGGGGAAAGAGTCAACAGAGCTTTTAAAAAAGAGAAATCAGACCGCACCAATCCATCACAATTCTTTGAGGGGGTCAACAAACTTGGACACAGGTGATTTAGTGGATACAGTGTATCTGGATTTTCAGAAAGCCTTTGACAAGATCCCCCACCAAACACTCCTAAGCAAAACAGGCAGTCATGGGATGAGAGTATCTTCCCTCTTATGGATTGGTAACTAATTAAAAGATAGGAAACAAAGCTCAGAAATAAACGGTCAGTTTTCACATTGGAGAGATGTAGACAGCAAGGTCCCTCAAGGATTTGTACTGGGACTGGTGACGTTCAACAGATTCATAAATGAGCAAGAAATAAGAGTAAAAAGTGAGATGGCAAAGTTTGCAGATGATACAAAATTACTCCAAAGCAGACTGTGAAGAGTTCAAAGGGATCTCACAACTGGGTGATTGGGCAAGAAAATGGCAGATGAAATTCAGTGTTGATAAATGCAAAGTAATGTCTATTGAAAAGCATAATCCCAACTATACATACAAAATTATGTGGTACAGTATAAATTAGCTGTAACCACTCAAGAAAGATCTTGGAATCATCATGGATAGTTCTGTGAAAACATCTGCTCAGTGTGCATCAGCGGTCAAAAAAAGCTAACAAAGTGTTAGGAATTATTAGGAAAGGGATAGAAACTAAGAGAAAATATAATGCCACTATATAAATCCATAGTACATCCACACCTTGAATACTGAGTGCAATTCTGGTCCCACCATCTTAAAGAAATATATATTTGAATTGGGAAAAGTACAGAGAAGGGAAACAAAAGTGATTAGGGACTGTTCAGCTTAGAAAAGACAACTAAGGGAGGGTATGACAGAGGTCTATAAAATCAAGAATGGTGTGGAGAAAGTGAGTAAGGAAGTGTAACACATAAGCTAGGGACCACGCAATTAAATTAATAAGCAGCAGTTTTAAAACAAAGAAAAGGAAGTACTTCTTCACACAAAGCACAGTCAACTTCCATAACTCATTGCCAGGGGATGGTGTGAAGGCCAAAAGTACAACTGGGTTCAAAAAAAGAATTAGGTAAATTCCTAGAGAATAGTCCCCACGATGGCTTTTAGCCAAGATGGTCAGGGACACAACCCCATGAAGGACTCTGGCTGTCTTTAAACCTCTGACTGCCTGAAGCTGGGACTGGAGGGCAGGGGATGGATCACCTAGTAATAGCCCTGTTTTGTTGATTCCCTTTGAAGCACCTGCCACTGGCCACCCTGTTAGGTCAGGACACTGGGCTAGATGGACCATTGGTCTGACCAGGTGGGTCGTTCTGAGGCTCTGCCAGCTCTCTCCTCCCCAGCCAGCCCTAGGAAAGCAGATACCCTGCAGCTCACCTAGCTCCCGCTGTCAGGGCTGGGCAGCCTCAGGCACATGGCCAACGTGAGCGTGACAGGAGAACCAGGTGGCTCCCCAGAGCCGCAGTGAGGACCCGTGCGGCCCTCCCCGCCCCGGAGCCTAGGAGGCTGGAAGCCCCTCCGCTCGTACCAGGGCCCGCGGGGCACCCAGCGCCTCAGGCCACGTCCCATCTGCGCCTCCACACCTGGCCCCGGAATCTCCGCAAGGCCGAGTCCCGCTCAGGCCAAGGAGCGGGGCTGTCCTGCCGCCCCGCGGGGTCCCCACGGAGCCAGGCGGCCAGCCACCGCCCGGCGGGTCCGAGCGGCAGCGCTCGCTGTGGAGCCCGCGGGCGGCCAAGCCGGGAGGGGCGCGTCCCGTTTGCCTGATTACGGCGCAGGGAGCCCCAAGCCGGGCCAGGCTCCGCGCCGCACGCTGGCCCCTGGCCACCCCAGGCAGGGACCGGTCCCAGCTCCACGCCTCCCCTCGGGCGGCCGAGCTAAGACGCCCGCGCCCGCCGTGGAGCCCCGGCCCGGCAGCCCCTCCGCGCCCGGCTTCCGCGGCCCCACACCTGGGTCTCGGCCTCGAGCAGGCCCCGCACGTATCCGTTCCGCAGCGCCCCATGTCCCATCAGGCTGCAGCCGTTGGCGCGGGAGTGGGAGTCCGGTTCCCCAAGGCCCTGCTCCGGCCGCTCCATCCTGCCGCCGTCGTCCGGCCGCTTGGGGTCTCCCACCACCCCCCCGGGCCGCGGAAGCCCAGCCCGACCTCACTGCCAATCACACGTGTTCGCGTCACCCGGGGGCGGGGCCCGCACTCAAATACATCTGCGCTTGCGTGAGACAAGGGGCCGAGGGAGAGGGGGCGTGGCCAAAGGGAGCACGGCCCAAGGACAAGACCGTGTAGTAAGGGGGGGGCGGGAAGCAGGGAAGAGGGACGGGCCATCGAAAGGCCATATCCTATCACAGGGCAAAAAAATCCAGGCCAGGTGAGGCCCAGGGGACGAGCTGACCAATTTCCCGGCATAGAACCACAGAGGGCGAAGGGAAGAACATGAGCTATCCAATCGCAGGACAGAGCCTCGGGGGTGGGCGGGATCTAAAGGTAGGCCCTGGCCAATGACAGGATAGAAGAGCCGGTCTGGGGGTGGGCTCTAGCCAGTGACGGGATGGGTGGGTTCGATGCAGGACAGTCGCGTAGAGCCCTGTGTAGCGCTGTGCCTGGACCTCTGGTCTGTCCCTGTCTGGGGCCCCTCGTGGCCGGCCCCTGTGTGACTCCACCGCTGGCTCCTGTGTGAGCTTGATGGAGAAATTACTGGGTAACATTCTCTGGCCTGTGTTGTGCAGGGGTCAGAGTAAGATGAGCCTAATGGTCCTTTCCGACCTTAAAAGCTTTGAATTCTTTAGGGGGGCTGGGGCTTATTCTGCAGGAGGTATAACTCAGCCCCCACCCAGCTGGAGGAAGGACCCAGTGTTTGAGAACCCCTGCAAGCAGCAACCCAGCAGAAATTAAGTCAGTGGGAATTAAAATTGTACATAAAGTTATGCATGTGCTTAAATTCTTTGCTGAATTGGTGCCCATATCAGGCATGAATGATAACTTGTTGAAACCTGGCTGTAGATGTGTTTGAAAACAGTTTCAAACTTGGTTACAAGCTCTAGCATAAACAAGACCTTGTAGTTGAAGGTAGGATATATATATATATATATATATATATATGGCAAATTAAAGAGTACAGAAATATGGTATCTATTCTGCGAATAAATCTAATCATCCAATTAGAAGTTGGGTCACCATAGGAATTACTCCATAGAAAAGGTGATACGCAAAAAGTCAGCATTTGTGCTCACCCTTCACTGCTTGATGCACAATGAAAACATGGAAAGGGGTGTCCAAAGTTTGGGAAGTGTCTTTTGGGGGGGTTTAATTTGTTTGATTTTACATTAGGGTTTGACTTTTGAGTTTTTGCTGGAGGACACACTGAAGAATGCGTGGGAAAAGGATGTCTTACCAGGCTAAAATCTGAGCTGTAACTTTCATGTCCTTAGTTGAGAGAGGAAGGGACATGCTATTTAAAAATGTTTAGGTCAGATTCTGCTTTCAGTCACAGTGGTATAAATCTAGAGTAACTCCATGGAAGGCAATCAAGTTATTCCAAGTTTACACAAAGGAATTGAGATCAGAATCTATCTCCTTGGTATCTCCCTGCACTTATCCTTATTGAACCTCATCAGATTTCTTTTGGCCCAATCCTCCAATTTGTCTAGGTCCCTCTGTATCCTATCCCTGCCCTCCAGCGTATCTACCACTCCTCCCAGTTTAGTATCATCCGCAAATTTGCTGAGAGTGCAATCCACACCATCCTCCAGATCATTTATGAAGATATTGAACAAAACCGGCCCCAGGACCGACCCTTGGGGCACTCCACTTGACACCGGCTGCCAACTAGACATGGAGCCATTGATCACTACCCGTTGAGCGCGACAATCTAGCCAACTTTCTACCCACCTTATAGTGCATTCATCCAGCCCATACTTCTTTAACTTGCTGACAAGAATACTGTGGGAGACCGTGTCAAAAGCTTTGCTAAAGACAAGAAACAATACATCCACTGCTTTCCCTTTATCCACAGAACCAGTAATCTCATCATAGAAGGCGATTAGATTAGTCAGGCATGACCTTCCCTTGGTGAATCCATGCTGACTGTTCCTGATCACTGTTCTCTCATGTAAGTGCTTCAGGATTGATTCTTTGAGGACCTGCTCCATGATTTTTCCGGGGACTGAGGTGAGGCTGACTGACCTGTAGTTTCCAGGATCCTCCTTCTTCCCTTTTTTAAAGATTGGCACTACATTAGCCTTTTTCCAGTCATCCGGGACTTCCCCCGTTCGCCACGAGTTTTCAAAGATAATGGCCAATGGCTCTGCAATCACAGCCGCCAATTCCTTCAGCACTCTCGGATGCAACTCGTCCGGCCCCATGGACTTGTGCACGTCCAGCTTTTCTAAATAGTCCCTAACCACCTCTTTCTCCACAGAGGGCTAGCCATCTACTCCCCATGTTGTGATGCCCAGCGCAGCAGTCTGGGAGCTGACCTTGTTAGTGAAGACAGAGGCAAAAAAAGCATTGAGTACATTAGCTTTTTCCACATCCTCTGTCACTAGGTTGCCTCCCTCATTCATTAAGGGGCCCACACTTTCCTTGGCTTTCTTCTTCCTTTTTCTCCATACTGTGACATAATAATTAATTTAATTCATGTATTTATTTGCAATACCATAGTGCCTAGAAGCCCCACTCATGGACCAGGCCCCTTTATAGGTGTTGTACAAATACAGAACAAAAGTTTAATTCAAACTCCTGACAAACAATTGGGGTGTGGGGGGGACTCCCTCTGTGAAAGAGCCAACATTTTCAGCCCTCCAGGGTGGACTGGGAAAGCTACAGATCTAGTTTTAGCCTATATGTGATGTTGCGATCCCATGCCATTTCTCCAGTGTGTATCCTAAGCAGATAGGGAACTGGGGCCTTTAGACTAGATATTTCTGGGTCAGACACCTTTTGCTGTAAAAAACAGCATTAGGGTCCTTGAACCAGTTTACATTAGCCTAGTAATGTTGTCCCAGCTGCTTCAAAGTGGCTGCATTGTGAACAGGGTGGGTAGGCATTTACCAATGTATGATCAGCAAAATGGCATGAAATAAATGTAGTTAGTTTAAACATGGTCTTTGTCTCTGTGATTGTCACTCTTCTCTTTGCAGGGTGGAGCCTTCTGTGAACCATTACATTAGGGTGCCACCATGGAATTCTTCAATTACCCACCCCCTCCCTGATGTTTATAGTTACGATATGTGCGATACCTATATGTTCTGTACATTAAATAAAACTTGCAGGGATTGCAAGTGTGACTTCTCCATACCCCCTAACTATAAAGCATCCCCACTGCCCTATACTCTGTTTGATTTGGGAGGGGTGTTTAGTAATGGTTGGTATAACTGCAAGCTCATGAGCAGCTAAAAATCCTTGCTGTGTGGAGCCCAGCTTGCTGTTGAGCTCCCTCCCAAACCCTGACTGTCTACCGCTAAAGCCTGTACGAAGCAGCCCGGGAAAAGCTCTGACTGCACCTAGTTTCTATATGCAGTGAGAATGTGCCTTAGGCTAAGGTGGGGTGGATTGTTGTGGCTCACCTCCCTCCCTTTACCTGGGCAGAAAGCCAAACAAGAAGATCACAGCCACAAATTTGCTCAGCAACTGGCACCCACCTGGAGGCTTTGTTTGGATAAAGACCTGGAAAGTTGCTCAGAATGCAGGGAGGGGAGAGAATACAGCCAGCCCCCTTCTCAGCCACTCTCCAGCGAGGGAGAGTCCAACCAACAGCAGAGAAGCTAAAAAGGAAATGAATGGGAAGTTGAATGAGGAAGAAAGTGAGGAGTGTGTGTGTGACACCCATGAGCCAGAGTCAGCTGACATGGGCCAGCCATAGGTGTTTCATTTCACTGAAGTGGTGACAGACTCTTGAGTGAGACAGTGTGTGGGAGACAGAGTCTCTGTGTGTACCTGTACTCTGGCTAGAGAAGCATTACAAGATATAGCTCTGTGGGCTGTCCACGCTATAATGAGAAAACCACTAAATAGGTACAAACCTGTCATGAAACTACAACTAAAACTATTTGACAGCATAAACCTACCCATTCCACTCTATGGGAGTAAAGTCAAGTGTTACTTCCACAGCCTACTGTATCAGTGATGACAAATCCCTACATCTTAGTTTGCAAACAGCTACAACAGGATACAAGAAACGGAAACAGGAAACAACAGCTGTAGAGCAGAACTAAGGCACTTCACCCTTGTGAAAGTAGAATGAATTATATTGAAATTATAATTCATTAAAGAAATGCTGCTTGAAGGGTTTGTTGAAATATAGTTGTCAAGAAGAGAAACATTAAGGAGTGTGAGACAGTGGGTCCTCAAACTAATTAAGTTAGAGCTCCTACTGAGTTTGGTAAACGTTAGTATGCAAATAAGATATGTATGTATATTTGTCAGTTTCTGCTTCCTTTTGTCTCTTATGTTAAATTGGCTTTCCCTTATCTGTTTAAATAAGTTAGCTTGAGCTTTTGCTGGAGGCTCACATATCTGGGTGCATTGGCAAAGCACTTTGCTAATAAACAGAAAAGGAGTACTTGTGGCACCTTAGAGACTAACCAATTTATTTGAGCATGAGCTTTCGTGAGCTCACGAAAGCTCATGCTCAAATAAATTGGTTAGTCTCTAAGGTGCCACAAGTACTCCTTTTCTTTTTGCGAATACAGACTAACACGGCTGTTCCTCTGAAACCTGCTAATAAACAGAGTGGTCTGACAAATTTTGTGAGTCTTGAATCTGACTTTGACACCCTCTTCATCAACATGCATAAAAGAATACTAGACTTCCAAGGACATTTCAGCCTAAGTAGCATATGCCCACCTTGTTCACTGCAAAACTTTAGAGGAGCAAAATTAATCCAAAACAAAACCCAGTGCTATCGAGCACCCCTTCCAGGCCTCAGCAGTACTAACCTCCTGATTGATGGAGCAAACAATTTCACCCCAAACTGAATGATGGTCAAGACACTAGACTCACACCTAAAAAACCAATATGAGTCATCAGGAAGAACAGACCATAAGTAACAAGCTAGACAGCTACAGAACTCTGTGCAGAACTGTCATTCCAGCAGATATCTCAGCACAGTGATTTGTGCAAAATTAAGGCAGACTTTTCTCAAATACAGACTCGGGGACCACAAAGTAGAGATA